ATTATTCGCATCTTTTTTTGAAAAATTTCTTTTCAACATTACTTTTATTTTAATGATCATTGACAAAGTAATACACCATATGGTATGTTACAACCCCTTGGTGAATATATGTAAATGTCTGTATAAGTAAAACAAGGTACTAAGGAGATCATGTATATATTTCTATGAGTTATGTATAATTTTATTTAATTTACCTAATTAGCTAAAAACAAAATACACTATGTTAATCTATTTCTTTTTCAGAGTAAAGTGTCAACGATGATTCTTTTTCTCAAATCAAAAAGACTAGTTGCCATGCTTTTAACTGTTGTAAAAAGAAATTGATTGAACTTATAATAGTATTTCAAGTAATCTCTTCTCTTTGAAATAATATAAAATCATTCAAATGACAACAACAAGTATGTCTCTATCATATTACATTTGTAGACAAAAAAAATGATAAATCGATAATTAACAGTACAATTTATCATTTACAGTGTACAATTAGTAATATTACATTTGTTTTATCATTTATCATTTGTAAATGAAATAATTCAGATTATTGTAAGTCATGATAGATTTATAAAACTGTCTATTTGTTCATAAAGAAATTAATGAGTATCTTCATTTGAAACATTATTCAAAGATTATCTCAATAATTTAATAAACAAGCTAAAATCGATTCTTGTCGTCTTATAATAGTCTCTGATTCGTTTATTTTTGGGAATGTTAGATCCCTAGAACTCACTAGGTAAATGTTTTATTTTTGTAATTTTATATTAAAAATTCAAATTTCTTGTTTTCAAGCCATAAGTGCTCATTTTTATCTTCATGTTGTATTTCCAATTTGGGAGAATCTTAAACACTATTGGTTTGTTGTATCTTTTCGTATGCTATTTTGTAATGTTTCTCAAAGATATTTTTATGCTGTATATATAGGCTTGATTTGTGCTTGTTATTGTAGCTCGTCCTTCTATCTGCTTTTGAAATATATTTCCTTCTTCTGAACTTGGATTTGTCTTTCTATTTAGTGGGGTTGGAACGTGTCGGAATAACTACGTTATTGGTCATCATATCAAAGAGTCTTCACTCCATTCCCAGATTAAATGAAATCATTATCTCTTCAAATATAACAGAATATATAGATCTTTCAAAAAACATTTGTGTCGATAGTTGAAAATTTGTTTCATTTCAAAAAGTTTTAAACTAGTGATTTCATCTGTCATAAGTCAGTTCATTACAGTATACCATAGTCAATCAACACTATAAAACATTCTGATAATATTCTGTTGTCATTATACTAATGTTTTTTCCTTATAATCTACAGTTATAGTAAGAAAGTGAACAAGTAAATACCTGAAGTGAACAAATAAAAAGAAGATCAAATTAAACATTCAAATTTTTTCATGAATAATGATTATTTATGTAATTTAGAAGTACCTCAATTGTTGTTACTATTAATGTAATTCGAATAGATCAACTACACAAATGTAAGTTAAGCTTTAATACTTGATTATTTCACTTCATCTTTTCAAAGTCCCATGATTATGAAGATCGAAAATGCTATAAAAAATAAGAAATAAATTCAGCTTAACAGCTAGATTTAACTAGAATAGAATTAAATTTGTAATTAAAGTCATATATTTCATTTTTAATCAGCATTGAAAATATTTACAAACTTCTGAATAGTTGTATAAGAGTTGTTTATTTTAAACCTATTGCGGAGTACATTTACATAAACATTTATTCAAGAAGTAAGTCTATTATTTTCAACTCTGATGTTACAGCTGTCTAATTGTTATCGAAAGTCACAAGTAGGAAATATTATCAATTATTCGGTTAATTTATTTAAAACAGTTTACTGGTCATTTAAAATTTAGTGAAATAGTATAAATTATTAGCCTAATGATATAGTTTCTGGGACTAGAATTGTGGATCTCAGGCTCAGTATATTGTATGATAAAGGTAGTTCATTGATGATAAATTTCAAATCGTTATTCTGTTTCTCAGGCATCTGAAGTGATTTTCAGAAAACAAATTCACTATCATAAACAAAGATGGATAGTGGCTAGAAGTGAAGTCCAGAATGAGCGTTTCGTCCTATGTGGGACTCGTCAGACGGGTGTACCCGGGAATCGAACCCAGTGCCGTTCATTTCAAACGCCAACGCGTTATCCAGTTAGCTACTGAGTCCTGATATATATATATATATATATATATATATATATATATATATATATTCTAATAGTTCGCATTACTTAACCTTCAGGAAATTATATACTATACTTTGATTTCTGGCAGTATTGAATTCACCTGTTTCCAAAAGAATAATATGAAACTTGTAGATGAATATGAAACTCTTTACCTTAAGTATCCCATAGTTTTCAGTAATCAAACGTGATGTGAACTTCAAATTTTACATCATTTGTAAATTATGAGAAACTTTGGAGTCAAGTATGTCCCACATCGTAATTAACTTGTGGCTACACTGAACCGTGGTGAATAGTACTTTATCAACTCTAGAGAACAGTAAACATTACATCAGATACTGGAAAATAACGGCGAATCCATGAAAATTATTGATTAATCTTCATGTTACTGAATAATTTAAAAGTAGTACACGTGTCAGATGATAATGTATTTAGAAATTTCAACAGACATTTCTACATTTGATGCGTTCATGAAGTTAGAAAATAATTCTAAAAGTATTTGTTTTAAATTTGGACAATTTTTGAAACCAAAATTTCCTGAGATAAACTTGACTTCATTTAAACATATGGTTTAAACAGCAAATCAAGTGTAATAAATTGGAACTACAACGTTTCGATTATTAACTAGGGTCAAAATTTTTAAAAATTAACTAAATAATGGAAACGTTAGTTCGGTATGCACCATAAATGTATTCTTCATGATCAGATAACGTCATCAGATAGACACACTTGGTTCTAATAAATTCTTACTTCTCAATTAATATATCCTTTCTGATGAATAATTAAGTTAGTAGAGAACCCACTTGTATAGTATTACAGATTATAACCATAATGTATAAAACTCCGCATCAAGATTTCTTTTATGTGCTATGAATTGTGGTCAGCCATTTGAAGTATAAGTCGTCCTAATTTTATGAGTTCAAGGTAATGAGCACTAATATTGGTCAATTCAGGTGCGAAAACTGTAAGATAAACGCCGATTCGGTAAACAGATTTCCAATGGTCAAATTAATAAAATTGGAGAAATTTGAAATGATGATACTCCTGTTGAGGTTGAATTATGAGGACCACTATCAATTCTCCAAACAATGTGATTGTGTTACGTCAGTGAGGAGTCTATGCAAGGTGAAAACTAATGATCTAAATTAGATTTTGTTAAATAATAATGTTAAGTCCTCAGTGTTCATGGCTTTAGGAGTTGTGAGAGGTCACCTACTAGGACGAAATAGTTATTCAGTGCCCTGTAGTTTCCAATGATACCATAATTGAGACCAATCTATGACTAAAATGATCTCCTCCTACATTGTTTGTTAGATAAATGGTTATCAAGCTACATACATACGAAATATAGAATAAATATTTCTACTCTTATGTAAACATGTATAATCGAGCTTTCGTGGTCGTCTCATTACATTCAGTTAACAATTTCATAATAAAGTGGATTGATTTACTTTCTAGTTCAGCTTAATATCATGAGTTTCATCAGACGTGACTAATTTATTTCAGTTTGTTAATTAAAAAGGAGATGTTTCAGACAATTAGCTGATGAATCTTACCGACGTCATATTTTATTCTTAATGTTACTACGGAGACAATCTTATTTCATAGACTAAATTAATTTGAGATTACCGATTACCTAACACAGATATAATTAACAAAATATATACTTGGTAATAATCCTTTCAGTAACCTTGTTTTATCAGAAGAAATGAATGCTGTGAAATAAAGATGAAATTCAGAAAAAAATTGAATATGATTTCCATAAATCATATCAGATGATTACAAAACAGATTAACGATCTGAAACTTATCATGAGTGATTAGTAGTTGTCTAAGCTAGATACTCCAGATATGTAGTGGTGTATCATCATCCGCAAAGTACTGTTATAGAAAACAAAGAGTAAAGATCCATAACTTTTACGCCCATAGAAATAAAATAAGAATATGAAATGATTGGGTATATCTATATTGCACTTCTATTCTCTAATTTGATCTGTGTTATCACTTAGCATATACTGAGTGAAATTCAAATGGCTCCAATCTCCATAATTCTTTATTCTTAATTCAGTAAACGTTACATTCCCTTGTACATAGTATTATGCTACTTGTTGTTTGGAATATTAACAGTGAATAAATGATTATGAAAGATCTATTCGATACATATAAAATATCAATAGTTGAGATGATGAATCAGTTGTACCTGAATCACCATGGAAAATCTGGAAGTACTGGACGGTCATTTCGTCACATTGTGAAACTCCTCAACAATGCGCATCCACGATTGCGTCTCACGAGATTCAAACTCACGCGAACGCTTAACCCCTAAACCATAGAGTCAGCATCAAATTGACTCATCACCTCAACTATGGGAATTACTACAATATCCAAAAAAACCCTTCTGATACATATGTAGTTGTTCATTTTATGGGGTTTTTATTGATGCGTGGGCGATATTGAATTTATCGAGTACCGATTCAGTGTTCTAATGATAACACATTGGCTTCCACACCTCAAGATTTTACATTTCATTCCTGTTCGATTTATCAATGTTTACTGTTATTAAGTGTTTTATGGTGATGATCATCCATGTCTCCTTAATTTTCAGTGATTGTGTAATTAAGTTCAATCCGTCTTTTTGCAAATTATGTTTAAACACAAACATAATATGAGTAATGTTGATTGGTTGTAAATAGTTGTTTGGATCAAACCCTATATATAGATTTCGTGCTAGTATACAACTTGTAGTAGGGGTTGAAATGAGTTTACCCCAACTTTTTAATAGAATATACTGGAACAAAAAATCAAATCAAAATGAATACAACCAATTATTTCTTATATTTTATTGAAAATTTAAAAAATATTTACAAGTTTATTTATTTACTAAATCAATATTATCGATTTAATATCATCAATATAATTAAAGGGAAAAAACAAATAACAATCAATAATAGAATTGATTTTTAATAATTTCCGCTATCTTGACGCGCTTTTAATATCATTTGTCGAAATTTTTGCGCTGAATTATAACGATTATCATTAGAATATATTTGTTTTATATTACATAATTGAGTTGAATCTGACTTATATAATACATTCTGATTGATTAATTGAGATTTATTGATTAAATAAGATTTTTGTTTTAATTGTTTAAATGAATTTGATGTTAATGAATTTGAAATATCAGGTAAATGAATTTGTTCATCAAATTTTTGATTTGTATCACTTTGTAATTGTTTTGTCTCTCTATTAATAAAAAAATAAAATAAATCATAAAGGAGTTTTTTGTGTGTAGATATTATAGTAACTTTTAATAGTTGAAATCATGAGTCAATTGAAGTTAGATTAACATGGAGCACTGAACGGATCATGGATGATTACTGTTGAAGAGTCCTACAATAGGACGAAACGATCGACTAATGCTATAAAAATATATTATATGTATTGTATTATAGAATAGTAATTGTAATAGTTATTTATCATCATTAATTGTAATGATAATATTCAATTTACAATAACATTTATTCTATAGCATAATAGAAATTGTATGAGGAAAGAAAACACAACTACAGTTATTAAATAATATGAAATCGGATTTGTAGAACAGTAAAAGATAAAAAAACAAATATGTAAAACAAAAAAAAATGTGCATGCATACGCTAGTGGATAAGTGAATATTGAAATATTTTATCTATCATATGAATATCGTCTGAATATAAATGATACTCTTAAATAAGTTACACCTAGTTTTACAGAACGGCGAGACTATAATTTATGAACAAATCAATCAGGTCTTAGATAACAGGTCTTGGATTTTGGCGCAAAATCCACTCATCCATTTGACTAAATAGAGTTTTGGCATTTTATCTGATATCGGTTTGTGATGAAAACCCTAAATCTAATTCTTAACTTTAACCATCAACTGCAAATCATAATTCGAATTCTCCACACAGGTTTATAAACCTCATTTGCTCCTAGTTATCAGGTGGATACTCTCAATATCAGTTTAGCGTCGCTCAAAGGTCGTCCGTAAATTATAGTCTCGTTATCTTCTGCTGTCAGTTTTTCCACTTCCGAATGGCGTTACATATTACTTATGTCTGTTGATATAAGTAGTGTACACCACAGAATCACTTATAAACATGGAATCATCAAACGTAGTATACATCTCAGAATTTACAATTAATATCTAACATTAATTAAATTAAATAAAACTAATTGTTACACTAGACTAGAACTCCAGGAAATACCTCTTGAAGCCAGACTGTGAGATTGTAACTCACTGAAGACAATGGTGGATGTGTCGCTCAATTTCGTGAATTGGTTGGAGTTAAACATTAACACAGTTAGATGTCGACCATTTCAGTGGTCCTGAGGTTAAGCGTTCAGGCGCAAGAACAAGGAGTCCTGGGCTCGAACCTCACGAGGCAGGATCGTGGATGAGCACCGCTGTGGAGACCCACAATAGGACAAAACGGCTGTTCAGTGCTTCCAGGTTTTTCATAGTGGTCTAGCTTCAATTAACTCATGATCTGAACTATTGAAATAAACAATCACATAAAATTAGTTTTATTTATCTAAATGTTACAAAGGATTGTTCCTATTTATGCTGAATATTCTGTTTGATTTTATTGACTTACAAGGTGGATAATTTGTAGGTAGTTATTGATTTCCGTAGGACATTATTACTATTCGTAATAGCTTTGTTATTTTCTAAAGACAACATTTGCATTTGTCTACAGTTATTCAAATTCTGATGAAGAGACAACGAATCATGAATTGATTTTCTCTTAGATTTACTGGATAAGGATGAAGAAGAGGAAGTGTCACTTGATGATCGATTTGACAATGAAACTGATGAACAAGGAACATTTGAATTGCTAAGTAACCCATTAATTGAATTTTGACTAAGGAGGAACTCTAAACCGCAAGACAGTTTCTGGTTAGTTACTGAATTGTTGTGAACTGGTTTTGGTTTGGATGACACTGAATCTGCTTGAAGGGTTTGACTGATATTTTCCTGTTCATGATTTAATGTACTAAAGTTTTCCAAAAGAGAATTCTTAGTGGAATTAAGAAAAACAGAAAAGACAAAGCTTGAAATATTTAAACAAATGTCAGTTTCTGTTTGACAGAGTAATAAATCAAAAAACCCTGATAAATAGTCATTCAGAGTAAATATCTCAGTCTTACAGAAAATAAGTCAGTGACCGAATAACTCGACGGTAAAGTCTCAGAAAGTTAGGGTAAATAAAGCTGATTTCAACCCCTCAAGTTTACAGGTATGTCCTACTACAAGTTGTATACTAGCACGAAATCTATATATAGGGTTTGATCCAAACAACTATTTACAACCAATCAACATTACTCATATTATGTTTGTGTTTAAACATAATTTGCAAAAAGACGGATTGAACTTAATTACACAATCACTGAAAATTAAGGAGACATGGATGATCATCACCATAAAACACTTAATAACAGTAAACATTGATAAATCGAACAGGAATGAAATGTAAAATCTTGAGGTGTGGAAGCCAATGTGTTATCATTAGAACACTGAATCGGTACTCGATAAATTCAATATCGCCCACGCATCAATAAAAACCCCATAAAATGAACAACTACATATGTATCAGAAGGGTTTTTTTGGATATTGTAGTAATTCCCATAGTTGAGGTGATGAGTCAATTTGATGCTGACTCTATGGTTTAGGGGTTAAGCGTTCGCGTGAGTTTGAATCTCGTGAGACGCAATCGTGGATGCGCATTGTTGAGGAGTTTCACAATGTGACGAAATGACCGTCCAGTACTTCCAGATTTTCCATGGTGATTCAGGTACAACTGATTCATCATCTCAACTATTGATATTTTATATGTATCGAATAGATCTTTCATAATCATTTATTCACTGTTAATATTCCAAACAACAAGTAGCATAATACTATGTACAAGGGAATGTAACGTTTACTGAATTAAGAATAAAGAATTATGGAGATTGGAGCCATTTGAATTTCACTCAGTATATGCTAAGTGATAACACAGATCGAATTAGAGAATAGAAGTGCAATATAGATATACCCAATCATTTCATATTCTTATTTTATTTCTATGAGCTTAAAAGTCATTGAATTTTTCCGTAAAATACATATTCTTCATTTGCGATTAAATTCATTGTTTTTATCTGAAAGGTATCACTAAGTTTTGAATTGGAAATTTGTTTCATGCTATATTGTCAATATATAATAATATTTTCCATTAAGACATTGAATAAATAATTCAAAGAAGAAATATTGTTTTTCGATTTGCTCTTTATCATGTCTCTACAGTTATAAATAGGCAAATCTTATTATTTGAAGTAGTAACAATCGACTTGGTGTCCGAAATTATTGCTTAGTTACTTGCACCTGTTACCCCTTGTCGAGAAGTATAGCGTGTCAACCACGACTATCCAATCAACTCCGTAAATGGTTCTGTTTCCCAGTTCTTGTCAAGTGCAAATCATTCTTTTAATGTCTGCCTTCAGTTCTCAGAGCAACGTGTTCCTTGGTTTGCTTCTTCTCCTTTTCCCTTAAGGATTTCGAGTTAGGGTTTGCCTCGTGAAACAGTTTGATGGTTTTCGTAATGTATGTCCTATCCATCTCCGGCATCTTTGCTTAATTTTCTCTTCAGTTGGAAGCTGATTCGATCGCTCTTATAGTAAGCTGTTGCATTGAGTAGATAATTGTTTACAAATACTTGTACCTTTTATAATGGTTGTAGTAGTTATAGTGGCTCGATATCTGACTCCAACTATGCCGTACGAATGATCGTAATTGAATGATTGTTGTCTAAATGCGCATGTTTCCAATCCCCGTATATAATCATTTACTGAAATCGCGTTATTGAATAACGGAATTAAATATGTCAAATACAACAATGAGTTTCGAATACGTACATTTCATATAACCGTTAATCCAGATAGACGATCAGGGAAAGAGCGAAGAGGAAAGAACGAAGCAAAACGGGTCGGAGGAGGCATATGAGCCAACTCGATTTCACCAACCGCGAATCGATATTTACAGTCAAACAAAAATAAGTTACAGACACAATGAATATGGTAAGTAATTAGCACACATACGATCATATAAAAAGCAGTTCAGACTAATAAGTGACAGAGTGAAATGTGGCTTAGGCAAAATGAATACATTCATCTGTCCAGAGGCTAAAATAGCATATCTGGGCTGGACATGGTACCAGCCCCCACAAGTTCTTGAAGTTTTGGCTCCGTAAAATAGAACTATCTTGACCTTCGTATTAAACCATCTGGTTTTGATATTGATTGACAGTTGTTTATAATTCCACGTGTTCTTCACCCGCATCAATGTTGCCCTTGCTTCGTCAATCCTCTAATTTACGTCTGCATCAGATTCTCCTTGATTATCGATGATGCCACCCAGGCACGTCAAACTTTCCACTTTTCCAGACCTCGTCCATAAAGTGTGATTGGGTTGGTTCTGACTATATTGCACTTCAAGATCTTGCTTTTTTGCCTTTGTATGTTGACGCCTACTGATGCAACGTCTTCTGCTACACTAGTTGTTTTGACCTTCATTTGCTGATGTGTATGAAATAGAAGACCTATGTCATCTGCCGAGTTCAAATCATCTAGTTGCATCCAATCTGTCCATTGTATTCCGTAATTCAATCAACCACTAGAAGAGAGAAATAGTGAGAGTGAGCACTTCTGTCTGACTCCGATACTCATTTGGAATGCATCTATAAACTGCCCTCAATGCACGACTTTGCAGTTTAGTCCGTCGTATGAATTGCGGATGATGTTGGCGATCTTCTCAGCTACTCACAACACTATTGAAGAAAGTTCCATAAGGTTCTATACATTCTGTCAAACGCTTTCTCATAGTCAAGGAAGCTGATGTATAGTGACAAATTCCATTGGTTGACTGCTCAAAAATGATCCGTTGTGTCGCAATTCGTTCTGTGCATTATTGATCACTACGGAATCCGTCCTGTTGATCTTGAGGCTTAGTATTTACGGAACCTTTTATCCGGCTCAGCAACACTCTGTTGAAAACTTTTCTTGGTACCGAAAGTAGTGTGATTCCTCCGTAGTCCTCACACTTACTCAGATCTCCTTTTTTGATATCTTGATTAGGTATCCTTCTTCCCAGTCTATCGGTGGCACATGTTCTTCCTCCCAAATCTTCCCGAATAGAACGTGGAGCATGTTTGTGGTTACTTCTATGTGCGACTTTAGTGCTTGAGCCGGTATGTTTTCAAGTGCTGCGGCTTTCTCACTGTCGGTATGCTTGGTGGCCATCCTGGTTTCTTCGATCGTTTGTGGAGTGACATCTATAGGAAGGTCTGTGTGTGCTGCTTCGATATTGTGTGGGTTCAGCTTGGCTGGTCTATTCAAGAGTTCTTTAAAGTGTTATACCCAACTGTTCCTCCGTTCTTGAATCTTAGTGATTCTCTTGCCTTCTTTATCCTTGATTTGTCTCCCTGGTTTACTACATTTCCCTGATAGTTTATTCGTTGTGTCATACAGTTATTTCATATTTCATTCTCTTGTAGTTCTTTCTGCTGTCATTGCTAGCTCTTCTCCGTATTTCTGCTTATCGGCTCCAATGCTCCTCTTCACTTGCTTGTTTGATTCTGTGTATTCGGTCTGTGCATTGACTTTCTCTATTCTTGTTCGGCTGTTGTTACTTGCTGTCTTCTTGTTCTTCCTCTATTGAATGCCGTTCGGGGTTTTGATAGGGATCCTTATGATGATGCTTCTTGCGTCCCGGAACCCCATGGCACGTTCAAGTTTGTGCTTCTTCAGTCCACTTCCAGTTATTTTTCATAGTGGTTTCCTCTTTTTCGAGTAGATCTTGTAATTCTTGGGACCTGTTGTTGAGAGCTATGTTGAATTCGTTGGGTTTGTCAGTATCTCCAAGGAAGACTATTAAAACTTTTTAATGCTGTTTCTCCAGTTGTGCAGTTCTTCTTTATCCTTAGTTTCATCTTGGCCATAACCAGGTGTTGATCTGAAGCTATGTTAACTGCTCTCTTTGTTCCACGGAGATCCATATAAACCCTTTTCTAAACTTACGCCAATCTAATAAAAGTTCAAGTTTTTGAAATATTCCTATCTTCTACGAATAAATTACTATGTAGCGATATTTGTCACACACTTTAGTTTCTAATACTGATCAAACTGTAGAAATAATGTTCTCATTGGGGCCTTCAGGCTTAAAATAAACTTAAGAAATGTTGTTCAATCAGGACTAAAAGCTAGATAAGTGAAAAATGATTATGACCAAACGACCGAATAATGTAACTTATACACTCTTATGCAAAGTCAGTCACTACTGAAGTAGCTCAATTATGATCTCTAGGACTCTAGAACTGAGTAATGCAGTCTTAAATACGTTCAGAAACAAGTTCTTGGAATCGCTGTTGATCTTTTGTAGATTCTTCTCGGCTGTTTACAACCTAGAAACAAAAGTGCTATTGATCAAAAACTCAAGAAGTCTTGGATAAAACTGACTCTGATGTATAAAGATAGAGTAGTAACAGACAATAATTATGGAGGAATTAAAAAGTGCCTAAACATTTTCTTATCTCTAGATTAAATACATGAATATTCTAAGGTAGAAAACCAGGAAGAGCACAGTTATCCTAATCGATAAAATATAATGAACTAATTCTTTTGGTTTAAAAGATATACAGTCATATTCTTAATTTTCAGAAAATGCAAACAGAAATCGAACATACCTGAATATTTTGTAAGTAAGTTTTCAAATGTGAGATTTCTGCAAGTATAGCATTTCTAAAATAAAATAAATGAAATATTTTACAACCGAACATACAAAAAGTTTCTGATTGAGATCATGAACTGATTGATGTTAGAACACCGTTGAAAACCTGGAAGCACTGGACAACCGTTTCGGCCCATTGTGGGACTTCCCAGCAGTGCGCATCCACCGTCCCACCCGCTGGATTCGAACCCAGAGCTTTCAGTCTCTCGCACAAACGCTTAACATCTAGACCACTGAGTCAACATCCAATGGTGTTAATATCTAATCTCAATCCATCTTCCATTGTACTGAGGTAAATACCTGTCTCCACTGGTCACGGCTCCCCACTAGAACTCCCTCACGAAGCTAGTCACTAGTGAGCAGATGGTAATTATCTATCGGTTCATGATGTCAGTCAAAAACCTAATAATCTCCACAACCCTATGCTGATAATATAAAATTTTATCAAAACTAAGTACGAAATGGGCTATGTTCAATTTTCTGTATTTCATTTTTGCAAGTGTTTAGCCGTTGATTCTTTGTTTCATTTCATTATCATAAATTATTGCAGTAGGATTTAGAGATTAAGTTGACTGCTTAACGCTCCAAGCTTACCCTCCTCAATATAAAAGTGAGAGATAACAAATAAGTTAACATTACCAGTCTGTTGTGTCCCGATAAGAATAATGAGTGGTAATTTTTTGGGATCTATTTATGGACCAATACTGTGAGTATATTTTTGCCGTATAATTGTTAATTAACTAAACTATTCGTATTCACGTCTATCTTAACATAATAAACGGAATACACCCATTATGACATTAAATAAGAAAGAAAGATTAGTTCAGCGAAGAGTTCTCTTTTCGGCGAATTCATTTTCAAAGTTGTACAATCGCAAATATATATACTTATTTTTATAGGGTGATAATAATACTGATAGTAAACTTCTGTTATATATGGTGACAGTGAAATTAAATAAACAAAGGTATTAAAATATTTTTTAAACAAGGAAAGTTTGATAATCGTTTGATAGTTATTGGCTGAAGTATTCATTGGGTAAGGATGGCTCAGCATGATAAAATAAAATGTTGAAACAGAGATGAAATGTGATCGGAATGATCGTGGAAATAAAAACAAACCGGTTGGGGGTAGAAGATTTGAAAGGAAGATGGAAAGTGAAACAGGTGGCTGTAAGGGAACAAGAGTATGAAGAAACAGAAAAAAATTTTTAATACATTAAAACCATGGTAGTAGAACAGGTTGTACCAGTCTCTTTTGTACACACAATTCTGGTTTTTTTTAATGTATGGCTATTGCTTCGGCAATGCAAAGATGATGCAGTCTAATTGTCTTAGGAAGGCTTCTACTTACCTTGTTGATGACCTTGAACGCAGAGTCTGTCTTGATTGAGTGACCTATGTTCACTTCTTATTGAACCGTTGCCTCCTCTTTTTAGCCACGCCGGACAATGTTCTTGAATTATTTTGGATAAAATACGCATCGAACCTCACTGTCACCATGTATAACAGAAGTTTACTATCAGTATTATTATCACCCTATAAAAATAAGTATATATATTTGCGATTGTACAACTTTGAAAATGAATTCACCGAAAAGAGCACTCTTCGCTGAACTAATCTTTCTTTCTTATTTAATATCTTGTCATAAGCTTTATTTTGACCTACGAACTGTTATTATACGATTTTCCATTCTTGAATTATTCCCTGTCTATTAATCACTACCTCCCACATTCACAGCGACATTTGGCCAAATCTTGTACACATGTTATTTTCTATTTTATGGTACGATGTGGTCTGCTTGATTGGTATATGAACAGAGTATATTTGAAATACATGATTCATACCGCAGAGGCTGAGACTTGTGTTTTGGACTTAACTGGCTGGGCTAGACAGGAAGCATGGTCAATCAGAACTCTTAGCTGCTCTCAGGTGTTTTACGCGTCATTGGTCCGAACGATAAGTCACTGCTCTCTAATAGGCGGTCACAAGTTATAACAAATGGCGACGGGGTAAAAAGAAATACGATCCAAAGTCAGCATGTAATTGGACGAAATTCAGTCTAATTATTTCGAGCAGTCAGCATCCAGATTTGTCATCAGTGTCCTTGAACGACATTGGTCATTATTTATATAGTAATTTTCATTATTGGTGCTGATTAAAAAAAGACTCTCCCTTCCGATTGATTACAACTGCTATTTGAGCGACAGTTAAAGTTCTGAGTCAAATTACGCACGCAGCTGCTGAATTATCCATGCTTTGGAGATGCAACGGAAGTGGATGAATTGATTTCTCAATCGCACACAGCTGGAAAATGATTTCAGCCTCCATGAATCCTCGATAAACTGTACATCAAACGAAACAGCAGTCATCCAAGATCCGCCCTCCATTCAAAAAAACATACACGGCAATGGATTCAAACTCCATTATCCCCGAAACAACATGTACAGACAGTGACGTATACAGCTCACAAAAAGACTTAGTACTTCAACATAGGTGTAAATGGTTTGCTTAGCTTTCACCAGATTACGCAACCAGTAATGCGACATTACTATCCAGATGAGCATGATGAACGGTAGTTTTTCTTGTGTCACTTTACAGCTGTATAACACGATCACTGAAAGAGGATAATGTAAAGCAATCACACGTAACGAACCATAATCATAGTCAAAATTCCACTCAGTTATCAGATTTTCTATTCAAGACCCACAATAAAGAAACCCAGCCAATAAGTTTGTGAACCACCACCAAGCAAGATGAATATATAGAGAATGATATACTGTTTATGACAAATAGCATACTAGCTAGTTTCGAAGTAAGTCGGAGAAAAAATACAACATATAATCGCAGAATATCCTTGGGTTTCTCTACAAATTTTATACAAGATTGTTAAATTTCTAATTGTATTCCTCGAGATAGCTATTTTCTACAGCTGGAAAACTAATAAATTATGAATAAAAATCAAAACTTCCCCGTAACCTTATAATTATAGGGTTTTGACTTTTATTTTTTTAACATACTACCCCTGCTACTTTACTTTCTATACTTATTTATTAGTGTTAATGTTTACAATAAAATAACAGCTATTAAACACATCTGTTTTACATTTTTAATAAGAGAATCTATATGAATATAGTATTTATAAACAATGTATTGCATAAAAAGGTACTAAGCTGATATGAGTAAATTATGTACTTTTCTGAAACTTTTAGTTTTACATCTAATAAAGGTCAGAACATTGATTTCAGAGTTTAACAATTACATCGAGGACTGAATAACCGATTAGTTGTAGGGAAACTACAAAACGAGATAAATACTTTCAAATGCTAGAATATAACACATGCTGAAACATTTGGAAAAAATTCTGCCGTATTGATAAAGGATAGTAATAATAATAATAAAGTGATTACTCGAAATTTGACTTCAGTTAATTAGTTACCTTATTTTTCGAGTGTAATATTCAAGTTCAGATTCTTCTAAAATCCAGGAAAATTTTTCAAAAGAAAGCTATACGTAATTAATAACTTTTCATATTGTAACAAATATGTATATCATTTGACAACAAGTGTAGTTTAGATAATAACATAGCGGCCAAAACTTTATTGCTTGGCTAAAATAAGCGAAATGTTGTTAAACACATCATAGTGCTTCGTTTAATTACCACACTTAAACATAGTAACACATTTTGAATTACATAAGCATCAATTTCCGTATCACTGAAAGTGTTGAGTTTGTATTCACGAGTCTTAACTCAGTAATGAATATATATAATTCAAGTCATCACTGATGCTAGAGAGAATTTTGCTATTTAATTCAAAAAGTTATTTATTATTCATTTTATTTGCTAGGTGTATCATCCGTTTCAATGTGTAAATCTTCAAGTGAATATTATACGAGTTATTTTCATGTATGACTGGAACTAAAACTCACAAGTTTTTACATTGTAAATGTGATACAAAACTTTTTTTATCATAATAAGTGAAATTCTAAACGTTTTTTTTACGATAATTGTGTTTCATCGTACCAAATTGTTCATCTATTTCTGTTCAAATTGTTTCATCATTGTGTGTTATATTATCTTACCAAATCTGTTGTTATTAATCAAACTATTGCCCGTAGTAAATTGATTTTAATGATGGTAGAATCACTAAATGTAATGTTAGAGAAAACTAAAACCAGAAAACTCATTTATAAATAGTACCATGGAAACTACACTTTTCTAAAAAGCTATAATGACAGCTGACATATTGACTGTCTTGCAAAGTCAGTGATAAATCACCGGAATAAAAAAGGTGCATAAAATATTTTCAGTATGGAGATTTGTGGAGATTGTAGTATTTTCACGGTTTAATTCACAAGTCGATTTAAACCAGACCAACATTGAAAACGCAGTAGCACTGGACGGCCGTTTCGTCCTAGTATGGAGCTCCTCAACAGTGGGCATCCGCAATCCAGTTTTTGGGGCTCGAACCTGAGACTTTCTGTTCAACGCGCAAACGCCTGGCCTCTGGACCATTGAGCCGGCGTCCAACGGCATTAATGTCCAACTTCAACTGTTCCGTGATCTTGCGCATCGCTGAGGAGCCTCATATTAAGATGAAACAGCCGTTCAATGATTTAAGGTTTTCAATGGTGGTCTAGCTTGGGTCATCTCGTGAATTCAATTATAAAATAGTACTTAAAAGTAAGAATCTCCATAACATTCGCGACGTTATAAATACGGTAGTTGAAGTTATTTAATTGTAGTCTTTTAAAGGAATTCCTAGAGAGCTCACCTTTCAAACCATCAAATGTTTGATCAGGATTATTGTGCTTCGATCTACTCCATTATCTTTGAGCAAACGGAATTCAACTTACTTTTCGATGGAATTTAAATAAAGGAAAGTGAAATATTCCACGTCTGTTGGGCAATTTGAAGAATCTAGAGAGGTTGGTAGAAAAGAATCGTTATTGTTGGCTAGTTCTAAAACAGAAATAATCTGTCAGCTAGCTTATCAAAATATGATAGTTTACTTCAGATTTTAATTCCAATGTCTGATCAATAAGATCTTCCCCAATGATGCAACGGGCTTCATAAAAGTGCACTGGTGGCAAACAGCTCATTATCTGCTCCCATATTAAGCGAGAAAGACAGCTTAATGCCATCACGGTACAAGTTTATTGTTCAACAATATCACAAATTTAAGATCCTTGGTAGTTTAGGATGTGAGAACAATATTTGCAAATTCTATAATCGATCCGAATTCCGATACATGAACTGAGATAAATAACATAGTTGCATTCCAAGAATAAAATCAATTGTTGTCTTTCTATCATAAACTGAACTATTTAACAATTTCAAAGCCAGAAATCAAAAGTAATCTGAAGGAATCTTGATATTATCACCAATATATATATCCCTATAAAAAGAACACAACGCAGTTACTAACCTGAGTTCTACCTGATCATTAAAATGCATTTTTCGAAAAGAAAACAAAGGGTGAAAATATCAAAGCAAAACGCGGTGCATTTAGAAGTTTTAACACCTGAATTCTGTAAACTCCACAAAGTTAAAATAATTCTTATAGAGATCAAGGTTAATATGTTTAGGATCATTTCATGAGATAGGAAATAAATATATAAAGAAGGCCAATCCAAATAATAGAAAGGTGAAAAATGGAAATCAGTACATAAAAACACTAGGTCATGGAATCTACAAACGAAATATAACACATTTTGTTCCTCAAAGCTAGTAACAAACTTTGAAAATTTTGGTTGACTTTAGAGTTACATAGCTTAGAATTGTAATATTCACACAATGAAGGAAGTGTTCAGCATCATATATTATTGTATCAGAAATCACGACATCGAAAATCCGGTGAAAACTCCAAAGCATCACAAAATGTCAAAAGTGTTACGAAAGCTCGTAAACCCGAATTAAAATATAAAATGTATAAATAATTCTTGAGAGACTAGTCTTTTCAAACTGTGATAAAAACTGAGATAGCACTTAAAAACCTGTTTATCTATCATAAAGATGTGCGACAAAACATAATTTCTGAAGAAAGTGACTGTCTTATTTAATATTTAGGGTTTTATGCTGTCGTTCTAATTTTGATGGCCTAATATGAAAGTAAATACGACATATAGTATGTGATATTCAAAACATTTGTCCCTATGTTTTAAAGACCGTTGTAAATTGGCTAGAAACTGTTATATAGACACCTGGTAGAGCAACGTTTGCAAACACATTGAAGATCTAAATTTCTTCTGATGAGATGACCCGAGCCTTGTATAGAAGAGGTGGATGACGGTCGGCGACGTAATGTGAAAACTCTACGCTAGTATTTACAACAGGAGAAGCATCTTGTAATAAGTTAAAACTGGGTCTGACGTGCATACGTGATCGAGTATCCTCAGCTGGCCAGTGTTTTGTAACACTAAAACGGTCAGCATCAATGTTGAGTGCTTACAAAATAATTCATTCTTTGGAGTTATCTACCAATACGGCCTTTTTCCCTGTCATTACTCATAGAAAAAAAGGTTTTATAAAATACGTTCGAAAAATCATAAAACTTGCTGACAAAAGTTTTGGCGCCGTTTAAGACGGTCTCTACATCAAAAGTCAAGTGAAACCAAATTGTTTAGATCACCGTCAGTAAACATATCAAGTTAAAATGACCTAGAAAATCCGTTGGTTCTGAAATCTAGATTATCAAAAAGTACCAGCTTGCTTCAGAGTTCCTAGATTTGCAAAACGAGGGATCCATACGAAACATAAATTCAACTGTTCAGTTAAAACTAATTATGTTTAACAACAAGTAGACACATTTTGACTTCGTTCACTGCATATTCTACTCGAAATCAGATAAACGTAAATGACCACTTTAACTACATATCTTTCTTTCTACGAACTAATTCTTTCTTCCTATACTATTGTGGTGTTTGAACGAACTAATAATACCTTTGTACTTGTTGAATGCTTGATTTCGAATTCTAAATACAATACATTCGTTTGTGCCTGTGTCTTCTTAATTCAATTGCGTTAATTCTGGGACTCTTAGTTCGTAGTATAATTCAAAGAATTCAAAATATTATATTGGCGTCGCAGTAGAGCCTGTAATGGAAAAGTTAGATATTCATTCAACTTCGGAAGATTTTGAAGATTACTTTGAAGGGTTCGAAATCTGGGCTATGACCAAGGAAGATGATGAGAATGTTAATATTGTGGCACACTTCCTCACATTCATTGGGAGAGAAGCATACAGCTTATTAAGAATTCTTACCATGCCGGAAAAGCCTATCTCGCTTCCTTATACAACTCTCAAGGAATTGCTGCTAGACTATGTTAATTATACAAATTTCGAATGCGGTAAAGGAGGAAGATCTCGTAAAATGATTAATGAGGATATAAAAAACACCACTACATTACTACGTCATCCTGAACCAGTGCAAACTCAAGGTTATGCAGACAATTCATTGAGTTTGGATGCAGTTCACGAGGATGGGGACAAGTTTGGTCAGTGTTTGTCCTGTGGCAAGTTCCACTCTTTTAATTCATGTCAATTTCGTAATTCTAAGTGCTTCAAATGTCGTGATATTGGACAAGTTCAGTCAGTTTGTAATGCTAATGTTCATCTTACTGCAACTAATATTAAGTCTTGTAATTCTGATTCTACTGATTCGAGTATTCATGATGATCATTTATTTTTATCAACGATCTCAAAAGACAGTGCACAGTCATATGACAGTTCAGAGTTAAATGAAATCCAGAATTCTTGTGAGACAACAGTTCCTAATCAACCGATTTATCAGAGTTCTCATGCTATTGTACCAGGTATGACTTTTCCTAATGATTCACATATTTATAATGAAATTACTTGCAATTCTGAGGAAAATATGTTAAATGAACCTAATCATGATCGTAAACCTGATGTGGTTTGGATAGATGCTGATTTTTCTAACGATCCTACGCTCTGCAATGACATTCCTAATGAATTTCATGAGAATATTTCACAAGAATCAAATCCTGATGTCATATCATATATTACCTCTCCTCATAATCCATTTGATCCTTGTGAAAAACCTCAATGCGAAGCACGAGTACTAAGTGACCTCGAGTTTGATTACATTTTGGATGATTTCATATCAACTGCTGTTTACCCTTATCACAAAAACAGTTCTAATGTTTACTCTAAACAATGTGAGAAATATGTTTTAAATGAAACCACATTATTCATAACTTGGGGATATAAAGATCCAACATTATTTCGTGGGGGAGGATAGTGTTGAAAGATCTATGGTTTGAATTCGAGATATTAATGATTTCATTACAAAACCGACATGTTGGTTGTATACAATTCCAGGTGAGTCTGTTTCGATTTCGTTTGTTAATTCCAATACTAATGAGCACTTTCTACATACTACAAAGTTTTTATCTTATACAATGTCGAACAGATTCAGGATGAACTTAACAAGAAAACGTACAACCGATTACAAACACTTATACTTCTATTTAAGCTGTGGCGGATGTAGTGTTTGAACGAACTAATAATACCTTTGTACTTGTTGAATGCTTGATTTCGAATTCTAAATACAATACATTCGTTTGTGCCTGTGTCTTCTTAATTCAATTGCGTTAATTCTGGGACTCTTAGTTCGTAGTATAATTCAAAGAATTCAAAATATTATAACTATATCCTTATTGCAATCTTTCTCCTATATATTACAACCTTTAACCAATCCTATGAATCCGCTGTTCATCTTGCTGTGCTAATGAGGTATGGCAACCTGGAACGATGCACATATGTGCCTGGTCCTACGTTGTAGCTGACTGTGTGACTGACTTTAACTACAAACGTAAAATTTACTGAATTTTTAGCCATAATAATAAATAAACACAGTTTAACGAAATCATTGAATTTTGTTAAAAGTGACCAATGGAAAAAATAAGGAACTAACCAACAAACCTGACGTGAAAATAGAATATTAATGTTCAAGTAGTGGGATTGCTTAAGGATGTCCGAAATTAACAACATTACTCGAAATAATAAATTTACAACAAGTAAACCAAACACAGTTAACCAGTTGAGGCGTTCACTAGCTAAAATCTGCGAAACGAAAACCACCATATCAATATGTTGATCAACAGAATTCTGTACCTGTGTATAGTTGTAAACCTTTAATATTTTTTCTCACAGTATGAAAAGAAATTAAAGACACATCATGCGCTGCACATATTTTTAATTGATAACGTTAGCAACATAAGTACCACCTGTACTCACGATACGAGACACACTGACCCAATTTCCCAGTTTTCAGACAAATTTGACCCCTTTTCGGGAAGCTGCTATAGAAAAATGTTTCTACTAATTGATCAATAAAAAAATTGAATTCAAAGTCTAAAGGTTTTTCATAGACTACAAAAATAATATCAACGCATTTTAATAAGGGTAAAAACAATTTATTTTGAGAACTTCAAAAGACAACCAACATGTCAGTATAACAACTACATTGAAAAGAAAATTGAATTACCGTACCGTCAGTAAATGGAAACAGTGAATTAATTGAAACAGTAAAACAAAGATTGTACGAAATCTGTAAGTACATTAAAAAGAGGATATAGGCATCTTCTACACATAACTACATATAAATCCCACATATTTCTACTGTCTTAGTTTAAAAACATTATTTACATTCTGAATTTTAGAACGATCCTGATAGATATGTGGGCTTGAAAATGATCAGAAACACCATGAATATTTTAGTTGTTTTTTGAATACCTTCAAAATGTTTTTGTAAAATATACAAAGACCTTCATTTCAAAACACGTAATACCGTCGAATCCTAAATGCTTACAAATGGTTCAGTTGGAAACTGTAATCCAATGTAAAGAAAAACATGACGTCGTTCAAGAATTAGAAAGTAAAACGTCGATCCTGAGAAGCTTATGCTATACATATTCGTAAAGTTTATCAACTAATGTATCGGCCAATTTCTGTAATTGTTTTTCCAACTAACTAATAGTAAATGAGTGCATTAACAAGGGATGTTAATCGCAACACCGAAAGATTTATTAGAAATCAGTAACCCAAAATCGTCGTTTGAATATACCGAGAGGATTCCACTTTGGATCATGAGAGAGACATCAGCCACTTTAGATGTCAATTTAAAAAATACTATATATCACAATCACAGTTATTGTCTTTATATAGATCCCTTTCGGTGAACCACAATTATCTGCAGATTGAGAAAGTTTGGTTTATTTGTGGACGAAGAATTTAGCTGCCCTGTTCTCCAGGTAACTGAATTATATGAAATAATATTGTCCTCACTTTCGATTGAAAAAGCAACATCTTTCTCTTGATCATATAAATGGGGCGGCATTGATTTTGCACACCAGTCCCCATTCTACACAAACT